GGGGGGGGGGAAGGCAAGGAAAAATAAAAAAGCTTCAATGGGTCATAAGACCAGACATGCCATAAGGCAATCTGTCACAGAGTACTCATACTAATAACTGTTGTGTCAAAACTGAACATTCAAAAGAAAAGACAAACCTTCCTTTATGTTTTATGAAATGTAAGCCCACAGAATTAATAATTCATGAGATGAAGAAAAATATCAGATTTGGATATAAATATTAACAGAATACTGTCAACCTATTTAGAACCAAATTTTGACTTGACTGTCCTACCTTACAATTGTCAATCTAGATGAGAATATCCTTCAAAGTCTCTCAAAAAAAAAAAATAAATCAGTATGAAAGTCATTAATGAAGAAATTAATATTCTCTATTCTTGTAGGTCCTAAGCAAAACAGCAGAACTCTGTCCTGGGTTTTGCAGTTGCTGAGCTAATGCTAATTGACTGGCAATATTTGTTCTCAGAGATACGCTATGCTGTCAACAATAACATTGGTGTGCACACAAGAAAGTATACCAAAGAGACATATTAAAACCAACACCCAGTGGAAAAATGGTAGGAAAAGAGGGGAAGTAATTGTCAGGTGACAAAGATAAGACAGGTAAACTTATATTAAGTTTCAGAATACAAAGTTTATACAATGGGCCTTGGATATTTTTTTCTTATTAAACAGGCATTTAAAAACTAGACAAGAAAGCAACTAACTCATAATGCACAACCACATATCAGTTGGTTCACTGCACATAATTTCAACCAAATATTAAATATATTTTCAGAACACTTGTTAGTCTCAAACAAAGAAGTATTTAACTAGACATGTAACTGATGCAGCCATTTCCATTTTAATCTTTGTTTTGCTTACTGAAGTGGTTTGCAGTCAAAGTTCAAGATCTAGAAGAAACAATTTCTGCCTTATGATGCAAGCCCTTCTCTGCTTTCACTACCATTACAGAGAATAGAATACTGGAACACAAAACACAACTGTATCAAAAATCAGGAAAGTCATCTAAATGTGTTGGTCTAAATGGCGGTAATAGGGCTTCTCTTTACAGGTTTTTTTTTTTTCTTCTCCCCAGCACTAATAAAATTTTAGTTTAGTTATGTCCCTATCTGCACTTACATTCTGGCAACAGTATTAAAAATACTTCCAGATGCATTAAGATTTGACATACATTTTTTTTTAAGTCAGTTTAAACACTCCACTTTTCTCCACAGTTCCTGACATCACTCAGTGATGAGCATGCAGAATGAAAACCCAAATAAGTTAAACGTTACAAGCTTTTATTTTTTTAAAAAAGTTAACTCCTACCTTTATCATTCTAGAGAGATCTCCAGCATCAGCTAATTCCAACACTATGTTCAGTTCGTTGTCTTCAATGAATGAGGCGTAGTATTTAATTACATTTGGATGATTCAGTTGCTATGAAAGCAGAACAATAATACACATCTCAGTGTAGAGCACATCTTACTTTTTAAGACTGACATATGAAACATTCTTATTTAGGCAAACAAAACAACCACTAAAATCTATTTCAGTATGATACAAAAAGTATATGCTTATAAGAAGTATTCACAGATAAACACTTTGGAAGAACCTGGTGGCATTTTAGGATCAACATGATGACTGACTGAAGTTGCAATTTTAGAGTAATTTTGCTTCAATGTATTTCTGCAATAGCATGCTAAACTGATCTGAAATAGTTAAGTCAATTCTTAAAATCAGTATTGTACTGTACAGCGGACACATCTTATTAACAATAATGTGGTTCTAGCAGAAATTCCTGCTTGAAAAGTTACCATTTGTCTATAAGATTTATTTCTCAATGTTAATTTTTAAAGCAAAAATATTCCAAAATTCCTGAAGTGAGGCTTATAAAAATTACACAGATAACAATGTGTCTCAACATTTATGTCAAGTGTATCTGTGAAAAACTTAAAATGCTTCAATAATGGCTGTGCATTTTTAAATACATTTTACCTTTAGAAGATCTATTTCTTTGATGCAGTCAGCACGGGCTTTGGCATCCATTAAATCAAATATCTAAGCACAAGAGAAGACATTTTTATTAAGTGATTAAATACATAGCAAATTGAGTTACCATTATTTCACAGCAACCATAAAGCAACTTGAGCTATGCATTTAATAGCAAGATGTAATGTTGCAGTAAGAAGTATTCCTAATGCTCTGATGCACTGATACATCAATGCTTTTAGCCCCCTCGTAGGAAAAAAGTCCATTGCAAGTACAAGTTTTCCAATTACTTAATTGCCACCTCCATGTAACTGTTTAAAACACATGGCAATAGTTCAGTGCGTTCCCGTCAAGTTGATTTTAATCCAAATGACAGCTTCCTCTCCCATTCCTGCCACACCATTATCACAAATTCATTCTTCCTAGTACTGAGTATACCTTTTTTTCCTACTCTTTTGCTACAGTCACCTTTTTTCTAGTCTAAATAATGCACACACTTTTGTTCTCTCAGGACCAAAACTTCATTGTCACCTCCAATTCTTTCTCTCCCATTTCCTTAACTCCAGCAAGCAAAGAAGTGATTCAGGTTTCGTAATTAGTTTAGTAGAGCAATTTTTCTATCATCTGTCACCTTGACTTTTAAAGCCTGTTAGAGTTAGACATCTCTGCTCTTCATTTTTTTCCCACCTCCCATCTGCTCAAAATTACTTGGCAATGTATCTCGTTTTTGCCTCCTCAAGTTAACCACATTACTCTCCATTAATTTCAACTTTGCATCAGAGTAATATTTTCCTGCTTTTAGTGTCCTTGTCCACCTTCTACAAATTTATGTTTGATCAAATGTCTATTTTCACTTCCTTTTTGCACCACCATTGGGTTCCCTTCTCACTTAACTTTCTCAGATGTGCATCTCCACACACTGCCACGGACTATTCCACTTAGAAATGACAAAAATCTTACTTCTTCAAGGAACCCTTCCACTACTTTCTGAATAGTAATTTTAGAAACAAAAAACACTACTCATCAACTTCTGTGTGGTCTGCCTATTACTTTTTAACCTATCCAAAAGAATAATAGAGACACACTATCAGTTTTAGTAATTGTCACAACACTTACGAGACTACTTTTTCCTTTTCAAACTACATCTTTCCAATTCACATCATCTTTTCCTACAGTCTCCAGGAAAAGATGTATTATGTGCTGGCAAGATCACTGGTACCTGGTACCATCAGCTCAAGAAGATCAAAAGCTCAACAGCTGACAACTTCTATTTTGTATCTTGCCATCAACTCCAGAAATAAAAATAAGGATCAACAGCACTTTGAGTACTGAATATCTGCAAAGAGTTTATCTCATAAACTGACTGCCCAATTGTCCATGTGAATCACACCTTTCACCCTCCCCAAAGAGGTTCAAACCAATCAGGAAGTCCACACATTATCTGCTAAACCACATCTAAATTTTCTATGCCCCTATGCACAGTAAGTTTGTCATTCCTTTAATCAACTGAAAGGAAAAGTCTAGAGACTTCATCCGTGGAGCACAGACCTCACAGAGCACTACTTCCATTCAGACATCCAACTTTCTGTCCTCAAAGCTGGCATAAGACAAAAAAAAAAACAAGCAACACCAACCCTGGAGTGGATACAAAATTCAGTTTTTGTCAAAAATAACCAAAGTGTAAGTCAAGAACTGAAATGCTAGACTTGTACATTGTAAGAAGAAAAGAGGGAGGAAGAAACAAAGAAGAAAACAAAACTACTTACCAAGAAAGAAAGGGAATAAACCATCTTTCGAGGTCCCTTCCCAACTCCTAGGATTCTATGATTCTATGAACTACTCATATATTTTAATGCCAGGATGAAGGGAAATAACCAGACTGAGCTAGACGCAAATACTGAGAGGAGACTGTGAGGGACTTAACAGCAACACAGCAGAGTTAAGTCACAAGAAAGGAATGCTAACACTAAGAAATAAAGCAATTTTAGATGTAGTAGAAAAAAAGAGTTCTATATATGAAATTACAGGTACAAGAATTAAGAGGTAAATAACGCTAACAGAAAAGACAGAAAAGATAGCTTATGAATTAAAGTTGGGAACTTAGTGAATCAAATTAAACACTGTGAACCTGTTAGAGATCCCAACTGCAAATGAATATACTGCTCTTTAATAATATTGACAACAGACTGAAGTCCTCGTGTTTGGTACAGTCAAGAAGGATTGTAATTATTTTTCTAGGAAGCACTTATGGAAGGTCTAAATATGGGAGGTAACACATTAACTGATGAAGTACTGCAAAGGCACAAAACCATAATTGTCCTTCCCTGTAACGTAAGAGGCTAGCAAAAGGAAAATTTTATAACCCCCTCTCTCAAAAGCAAACCACGAAATTGTGTACCAGGAAGTAGGGAAAAAAGGGGACAGGTATAGAGGCATGTCTTGAAGCTTCACACTTTTGCCAAGTTGGATAATATTGAGGTAAGAATAAATGATACACCCTATAAATGATACAGAGATTAGACATAGACAGAGAACTCCAAAAACACTGGAGAACCTAATCAAAGCTGCAGAGAAAATTTTATATTGAAAACTGTACACAAGTTATCTACTTGTAACATTCACAGAAATTAGCCAAAGCACAATTTCAAGATTCAAAACCAAAAGAGTTTTACTGTGTGAAAAAAAAGCAGGGCAGTTCGCACCTGTCAATGCTTCTTTCAATATGCCAATAGTGTTTACCTACAGGACTATTTCCTTACACACCCAAACAAGCAAATTTTCTGAGAAAAGTTTTTATAAGCTACATCTCTGATAGGGGGTATAGCCTATAAATCAGTACCTCTCAGAGGAATAACAACACAACAACAAAAACAAAGTCCTAGACTCAGGATTATGAAAGATTTAAGATCAAGGCACAGGAAAATAAGAGAAAATGCTGTTTGTGTATTCTGGCTGGTATTCCTAGGACTTCCAATTGGTTATTAAACAACCTGAAGTAGACTAGACCAAGCAGCTGCTCTCATGAATGAGCAGACTGAAGTTTTATAAACATAACTCCTCATACTTTTGCTACACTTTATACAGAGGAGTGGCAAATTTGTCACAGATTCAGCTAAACGGAATATTTCAAACATTACCTGAATAAAATATAGCAAGACAGAAAAATTGAGTCTTTTTTGATCCTTACAAACAGAAAGACTGACAATCCGAAGATTTACTGTATATCATTCTTAAGGTTCTCCATCAGGCTTTGGTCCAGATCTAACTTCAATAGACTGTAAGAGCATTTCCCAGAAATGCAGAATTTCAGCTCCACAAACATTAACATCCTCCCACAGTAAGACTGGAAAAAACCCCACAAGCCAAACCAACAGCAAGAAAAAAAAGAATATTAAAAAAAATCACCCAATCCATGGCCTCTGAGGAACGTCTGCTCTATCATACTACATTCAAACAGCTTGCAGAGATTTTCTTTCTGAATAGATTATCTTTCCATTTTGCCAAGCTGCTGCCGTTTGGATCAGCGGCCGCTAGTGTAATAAGCCATGTCAGCTACCAAGGAGGCTACTGTAAACACAATGAGAAAACCTCCACGCTTCACCAAAAGATGACTCAACACTGAAGAACATCTTGCACTGAAAAATGGAAGCCGCAACGCAAGATTTTAAGACCTTAAGAACATCCTTTCAAGTGCATGTCAAAATTACACATGGCACCTGGCAGCAACCAGGTGGCTTGCTTTGCAGGAGCTGCTGCAGACACTGCAGGAGAAGCTGTCCTTTCCCTCTGGTTTACTACAGACAGGCCAATATGAAAAGATGTCAGTATTTCTGTCACAACTCTTAACAGCTCACAGCGTTGCAAGCAGACTAATTTCATCTTCAGCTACTATTACTCAGCAAGCCAACCTGAAAGATCAGCTTATGCTCCTTCCTCTCTAGCAGATGCGTTGCACACAAATTTATGTCACACACAATTTGTAGCCCTATAAAGACAATAACGCCATTGCTATTAGCAGGCAACGGCCTCAGACTACCTCAGAAACACAAGGCCTAAAGACTTTCCATGTTTTGGCTGGACATCTCTTGGCCTAAATTTGTATTTTGAGCTCAAATTTAGCTGAAGCAGCACATGCTTTGCACTTGAGAGACTTAACTGTAACAAAGTCATTACAGTTAGACTTGTGTCTTATTTGTTTTAATATTCAGCTCAGCTTTGTGCAGCTGCACCGTCTTAAGGAAATTATAGTGGATATAATAAAGGTTAACAAAACCACAGTGATTAACATCAGAAAACTTCTGAACCTCCACAAAGTATTAGCAACCTATTGCTTGAAAGCACCCAGCATAACTCATCACAGAGCTACCATCAACATTCTCTTCCCAGCAGAGCTCAGGACACTGGAAGGGTGAGCCTAAACAGGGGTCAATGTGAAGAAGCTTGTGCACATTATCAGGTACTAGCAGTAATGAGACTACAAGTGTTAGCATCACTGTAATTGGCTAGCAATAAAAACTGCTGCATTTTGATTAGACTGCTAGGGCATTAATTAGACTAAAAATAAATTCTAATCCTTGACTTCACTTACGAGGTCAGGATCACAGGGTAATTCTGGTTGGAGGTGAGTTTCTCTAGTCAGCACAAATTACACAGTGTAATAGACTCTTATTTAAAATTTTAATTATTTTCCTCCAATTTCTATTTTCAAGGACCATTATAAGATTAACATTTCTGCAAGGAAACTGTTTGCTGTTAAAAGCCTAATAATAAGCAAACATTATATCTGATGTTTTTATGTTGTGCCACTTTTCATGAAGAGTGCAGTAAGCACTACACTTTAGTTAGCAAACACTGTGAAATCCCTGAAACAATTAGGCAAATACAGCTGAAGACTTAGGAGAGCATCTTAAAAGCCCTTAGTAATTTTTCTTCCCACTTAGCAAGAACACTAAGTGGAAAAAAAAGTTAATTTTTAGCTCTCAACTTCTCATCTCCCACTGCAATCAATAAAAAACAAAGGAAGAGTAGAAGGACAAGTATATGCTGATACTTATTTCAAAATACTCCCCTCTGTGTGCTATGCAACTCAGAGGTCTCTGTTAACTTTGAATTGAATATCCTCCAGTACCTTCATGTGGGCGTAGATTATAATTTTATTTTTTCAGCATTCTATATATACCAGTTGAAAGTACTGTCAAGAGCTATTGATATTTTTAAAATAGTTTCTAGGCTATTGTAAAATACAGAGCAGGAACTGTTCACTATGCAGCTGTGTAAACTAAACAAAAAGGCTGCAATACACAAAATCAACTTCCTGAGTAAAGTTCTTACATGCCCACACATGCAACTGGAGCTCCTGGAAGGCTGTATGAAGGTTTAGAAACATTTAACCACTGGATGGAAAACATCAGACCTTATCTTCCAAGTGTAGACTGTATTTGATCTATTACCAGCTACCAATTCAACTCATCATCTAAAGTAACATGTCAAGTTGGGAATCTACTTGAATTCTCTCGCTCTGAAGTCCATCACATTTCCAAGTTTTCCTTTTCAGTACTGTCAAGGATAAAAGTCTAACAATTTAACCCATTTCTGCTTGAAATTCTCTATAACACAAATCTTCCAAAAATATTTCCAATGCAAAATACAAACATCACTGCTGTAACATAAACCTACAGACTGGCAAGCAAAATACAGAGCTGAATACACACAGATATTAAGAAAGATGATACTGCAGAGCAGCCATGAGCATTAGAGTATTTTGCCATTGCAGCACTCCTGTGCTGAGACAATAGTGTTTCATAAAGTGTGAAATCACAAGCACTTTCCTAAGATTAATTATCTCTAATTCAGGCCTGAAGTAGCAATCCACTGACAACGCACAATGAATAATGAACGTGAGTGCTAGATAAAAAGATTCATTGTCTGACTCTCTAACATAGGGGTCTCCAATTTTTGAATGAAAGGGAAGGAAAGGTGGAACAATATAAGGCAGAAACACAATGAATCTGCTATTTTGTTTAAATATTTTAAATTTAAACATTGCTAAATTTTACTCAAAAAGTAGCTCAGAAAGTTACACAGCCTTACAGTCACTGACTTTATTTGCAACTCTTTCACCATCTAAGGAAGTTTTGCGAGAATGTATTTCAGTGTCTAGTACTTCCTCACTTCCCTCCCCGGCAGTGAGGACTGGAGGGCTCACTGCTCAGAAGGCTACACCATACCTCAGAGTGTTGGTGGTTGTGTTACCTGGGGTGGCAGTAATAGAGATGATGCTTCCTCAAGCACAATTCCTCAGTATAGTTTGGGCCTCAGGCTTAACACACGTTAAGAAACCTATCCAGAAGCTCTTCAGACTTACACTGCTATGTTCTAGTTTATGTTTGGTTGATTTTTGCTGATATTTCTTTGACTCAAATTGTAGTTTAGACATTAATGAAAGTGAAGGACTGAAGTTTTTTGTTGAGATTTTTTTAGTTCTGGTTTAATTTAGGTAATATTTCCACAGCATCTCAGAAACCCAACTCCATGGAAAAAGAGAGAACCTAATTATCATAAATACCACTTCCCTAATTACATGAAGACAAATCACACATGGGAGGATGACACACAAAGGGTATAAACAGGAAAAAAAGACTCGACATACTATGTTGTGTATTCTGCTGGTTACATTACTAGAAGGAAACTGCAAACTAAACAGTTTTCACTCTGCTACATAACCTACTGGAAACCAAATCAAGAAAAACTACTTTGTGTCATCTGGAGCCAGCAGCAACTACAAATTCAGAAAGAGTGGTTTCTGTCACCATCTGCTTGTCCTTCCTCCCACGGCATCTTACTGCCACTTGCTTCTGCTCACATCGAGTTCCACAAACAGACATTCTGTACACATTAATATAACATTTATCAATATTGTACATATTTCAGCCAAATAAAATTTTAATAGCAGAAAATAAATATTCTTGTTGGAAAGCTTCATAAAGAACCCCAAACTAGCAATCATTTGGAACAAATCATGGCCTGAGATGCAGTAACTTTTAAAGGGATGTTAACTAAGGAAGTCTAAGTCACGTCAGACCTTGAAGGTAGAGACAAACATGGGGATCGACAAATACCCATGAATGGAACAGCTATATTCCAAACACAGACAAACAAAATGGGGAGTAGGTGGAATGGACACAACTTGCAAGATTAGAGGGAAGGCATGTAGCAGTTAAGATGAGAAAGGGCAGAAAATGGCAGAGTAGATGTTCAGATCTTACTTAAGTTACTTAACACGAAGTACAGCATTTACAGGCACTATCTCAATGTGGAAATGTGGAAAGCTGTACCCATGCACAGGTCTAAAACAGAAAAAAACAGAGCCTCTCCCTTGCAACAGAAAGAAGCATTCCTCCTGTTTTGTTCACACTGAGCTTCCATTAAAGGGGCACCAGAAAAATAGGCAGTCTTTCAATTCAAATAAAAAATGGCTGAAATTAAAAGCAAAAAGCACCATCATAAAGAAGACCCACAAAATTTTCTCTGAAAAGCAATCACATCTCACCAAAAGACATCTATGAAAACAAATTTTATAGTGAAATTAAGCATTGTGACTGCATTTAACAAAAATATTTCCAGGGAATCTTGGAGAAGGTCAAAGAAGCACAGTAACAATTAAGATGGTCTTCTGTCCAAGCTATCTGAAGAGCTTTAGATGTCAACTATGCAAGCTGATATGGCTGTGCCAAATGCTCAGTGCTGCCACAAGCCTTCTGAACTCTGGATATTATACCATCATTCACTTAGGAATTTTCTTCCCTTCTAGGTTAACCAAATCTCACTTTCCAGATAATACTCTTAAACATACATTCAGTCTTCATATGGAAAGTGATTTCACAGATCACAGCACACAGCCCCTCCTGACACAAACAAGGCAGTAACATTCACATATGTTGGGATATTTTAAGGCAATCAGAACACTATCAGGATAAAACCACTTGGGAGAATCATAACTCTTTAACCCTATTTCCTACCAACCACCAAGTATACCCTTAGAAATTTATTAAATGGTCGAACAAGAAAGTTTTTCATAGCAGAAGAGATATCACATGTATATGGACATCATAATATCTTTTTCATTAGTTAAAAAAAAGATTTTTTTCAAATTATGAAATTTGATGTAAGAATAGACCAGTACATACTGACTTTTGAAACGCTAAGAGCGCACATGCTATAATGCCTCTGTATTCTTAATGCAAACACCATTATAAAAATTTCATAGTTAACACTGAAAGGCTGGACTTTATTACTTCCTTCAAGTACCCAGGCATTCCACATCTGCCTTAATTGACATGCATTTCAAGTCACATTTGACCTTTTTGGTTTCTCACGCATTGAAAATGAAGGAAGAATTAGCCTAGTGTTTTAAGACTGTTGATCAAAGTTTCAAGAATATATTTCAGCTTTTGAAGTAGTACATATCTGGCAGTTTTCCCAGAAGGGGGAACCAAGTCTCTTTTTTTATGACTGCCAGAACTAGCCCTGCCTCTTGGTGCTGCAGAGCACAGGAAATCACAGAAATGGAATAGCAAGTCAAGATATGACAGCAAAATTTACAGTGTACGCATTAGCATAGCGAAAAGAAAACTATTAAAATCCATAAACGCTGGAGAAGAATCTATTAAATCTGATACACATTATTTTGCATTATATAAAGGTAAGCCCTTCAGAATTGATGGTAGAACTCCATCAAATAATAAGCTTAACATAACTCAAGAGATCAAAACTGAAATGACAATTTTAGTTTCAATTTCCAAAATAAATACATTGTCAGGGAATTTTCAAAGCAAAGCCAATATAGAATTGTTTTAAGACCACTGCCCTCTAAAAAACATCTCTGAGTGGCTCCAAACAAAAAAAAAAAAAAAAGAATGGAAGTAATACGGGATAGAGGTTGAACTCGAGCAGCCTGTGCAACAATAAAAAAGCAAGAGTTTTTAATTTAAACTGTCACTTTTGCTTTAAATATTTTAAAAGTTACTAACTGCAAAGGCAAAATATCCAAACAAATAATCAGCCTTTTTCTTATGTTAAAATGTACATGAGCCACAGTAACTTAATCAGTTTGATGCTCTTCCACCTTCTGTGGCAGAACTGCTGTTTAATTACTGGTTAAGCAGTGAATCATTGAAATAACCAGGGTCCTC